CATGTATGCGCGTGTGCGTGTTCACCTTTGAGGCAGAGAGATGGAAGGCTGTGTGTTCAGCTGATATTAAAGAGACACCATTATCACTGTTGCAGTTTCCATTAAAGGATAAAAAGGCTGTTTCATGACTAAACCCTTGAAGATTAATTAGGACTTGACTGTATTAGGATTCTGTTTTAAAGGACTGATGGGGGTGGGGGGTGCTCTGCAAGAGAGAGAATGCAGTTGACTTGAACCCCCCGAGAAGCTCCCTTCACTCCTGCAGAGGTTTGAAATGTCATTCATAAGGGTGTGTGCAGGACGCAGGAAGTCTCCCCATCAGCTCTGGGAACTGGGATTGCCTGGTGTTCCCTAAGTGTTAAACTGGGATAGCCATATGGGGGGGGAGGGTCAGGCGGCCATCCTTCCCCTTGACCTTGTTGGCCCTGGCCACGCTCAGCTACCACTGAGCCATGGCCAGTTAGAGTCTTCGTGAAGCTGCCCAGACACAATCCCAGAACGTGTCTGCCTTGGAAAGGGCTCCGAACTGTGTTTTCGGTGCTTACCAGGAGGTCTAGCCCAGGTGGAACAGGAGCTGAGTCCCCTTGGGAAGGTTCATGGCAAAGGACAAGGGAGGTTTACTTAGCATAGGGGAAGCAGACGTCGTGACTGCCCGGGTCCTCGGCCTGTTAATGTATTCCCTCTCTGACCCTTTGTTCTCTCGTGATGTATGTTAGATGCACAGAGATCAGTGAGTCCCAGGAGTCAAAGAAGATTTGGTTTTTGTCCTGTCTCTGCCACCGACTCTTTGGGTGACCAAGGAACTCCAGTGTTCCTTGTTACCGGCAGCATCAAGTACAGAACCCTTTGGTCCCTGAAGCCCTTTGTCCCCCGGACCCTCTGCCCTTCCACTGCCCAGTGTGTTCTCTTGGGTCCAGTGACCTGACTCCTGGCCCTTCCATCTCTTGGCTCTGGGCATGTCCCCGTGCTGTCCCCCATACCTGGACTGCTCTCACTCCTCATCCTGGCTTCCTTCAAGTCCCAGCTAAAGTCCTGCCTTCTCAAGAAGTCTTTCCCATTTCTTCTCAATCTTAGTGCCTTCCCTCATGGACCAGCTCCGATTTATCCTGTGTATATCTTATTTTTACGTAGTTGTTTTCATGTTGTCTTCCCCATTGGACTGTGAGCCCCTGCAGAGCAGGGATGGTTTTTGGTCTTTCTTTGTATACCCAGCACCTAGCATAGTAGGCTCTTTGAATTGACCTGACCTGGGATAATTCACCTCACTGAGTCTCCATTTCCTTATCTAACAAATGAAGTAGTTAGACTTTTGTTTCTTCTTCTACCACGTGTGACTCTTCTTGGGGTTTTCTTGGCATGGATACTGGAGTTATTTGCTATTTCCTTCTCCAGCTCATTTTACAAACAAGGATCCTGAGTTAAACAGAGTTAAGTGAGTTGCCCAAGGTCACATAGCTAGTAAGTGTAATTCAACTATATGGCCTCTAAAACCCCTCCCAGCTCTGACTTTCCATGTTCTAAGGCCCCTCCCAGCTCTGACACTGTGTTCTGAAGCCCCTCCCAGCTCTGATATTCCTTGCTCTAAGACCCCTCCCTTCCCTGACTTTCTCTGTTCCAAGGCTCCTCCCAGCTCTGACATTCTCTTCTTAAAATTCTTTTAGCCATAAAGTGAAAGTGCCCCTAAACTTTGGTTTCCAGGCTTAGCCCAGTTCTTCATTAATCTGAGGGACCTAAATGCTAGCTGTCACCCTGGGAACCCTGATCCTTCGTGGAATCATAATCCCAGGCTTGCAGTAGGAGAAGGCCGGTTACATGTGGTATTGTACTTACTGTGTGGAGTGGCCCGCAGTGACCCAGCCTTGTCACTCTAGTAATTTGTAATCTAATGGCACTTATGCAGATGATAATGCGGCCAAAGGAGACAGAAATGTAAAAGTAGCATTTCAGTAAATCTACCATCTCCCCATTGTGGTCCTCCCTCCTTTGGGGCACCTCCATCTTCTCAGCCTAGGTCCATGCCCTCCACAGATTTCCGTCTTCTGCTGGAGGCATCTTGATGCTTTCAGAGTACCAGTTGGGACCCTGGGGCTTCCCGTCTGTTATCCCTCACCCTCACCACATCACCCACCCACCTCCTTTTTTATTGTGCCTTTCCTCAGCTATATCCCTTCCCTGCTTCTCATGGTGCAATCTTCATTAAAGATGTGAGGCAGCCTGGTGGTGCCCGCCATGGCCTTTCTGTTGCCTCTTGGGTCTCTAGGAAGCTTCTATTCCTCACAGAATGTGATGCTTCTGCCTTTCAGAACAATGCAGCATCCTCGGGGGAACATACCTGTTGAAAAGATAGGATAACACATGGACATAACTATACAATGTACAGGTCAGGGATGATTATGTCCCGGAGCTCATTGGGAAGAGAGGAATGGTCAGGAGGCATTCAGACCAGATACCTAGGAGAATATGCAGAGTCTCTTCTATGTAGAATGATTTGGAAGAAGAAGTTTTGAGGTGGGCCTTGGAGAAGGTTGAAGGGGAGGAACAGAGTAAATTTGTGGGAGAGTTAACTGGCCCATCTGGACCACAGCCCAGTTGTTCCATCTGATGCCAGACGCTGTACTGAGATGTCCAACATCTGTTGTGCTTGAGTTGGGGGGTTCTTACAGAGGAAGAATAAACAGAGGCAGGTAGACCACAGTCACTGGGACTGGGTGACTCATGTCCACCCCCCAGCCCTTTGTGACCCCCATCAACACACAAGGTCCTTTGACCCTTCACCTACAGAAAATGTTTTGTACCCATAATCTCTTTCACAGACCTTCAGGGTCTTTATCAGGAACATGGATGGAATGGGATATCGATTTGGTTCAGAGAGTATTTTGATTTTCCAAGTTTATTCTGGTTCAGTGGTTCTGGAGAGCACATAGCTTTGAGTCTTTTCTGCACTAGTTTAGTGGGTGGCTTCCCCTCCCCCCTTATCCCATCTCTGGACCGTTAGACTTCTTGCCTAGAAGGCCCTTCTTCTTCCTTCTGGCCCTGTGGAATCCCTAGGTTCCCTCCAGACTCATCTCAAGTGCTACTTCCTGCTGGAAACCCATCCTCTGAGGCTTTTTCCCCTTACAGAAATTACTTTGTATATCTCTTGCATTGACTTATCTTGTGTTTTCTCTGATAGAATTTAAGTTTCTTAAACACCATGTGACTAGGTTATTACTTTGTCGGAGTCTATACAAGGTAATTATTAGAGGACATCCAGAAAGGCCTTATGTAGGAGAATGGAGTGTTCAAGGAAGACTAGTACCTCTTGTGTGAGGGCTTGCCAAGCGCTTTTCAGAATTGCTCATTTGCCTTTGGGGTCCACCTTCACCCAACTCTCACCTATGGCTCCAAGAAGCTGGAGCATGCCCAACAGCTACACCTCGGTAAACCATCTCAGCAGACGGGTTAAACCAAGTTGAGGGTAACCAATGGGCCTTTGACCCATTGCTGAGTTAGAAGAGTGTCTGCCCCTAGCATGTGAACAGTTCCCTCGGCAGACTGGACGGATGAGAATAATTTGTTCCAGTGGCCTTGAAGGCAGTGCCAAGGTCATCTGTATCTTGGGCCATCCTGACTTTTGTCTTGCCGCTGGACTTCAGTGATTCTGGAAAAGAGAGTGAGACTGACACCTTTGTGCCACTCTGCCTCACTTAAATCCAATTCACAAGCAAGTCAAGACACTCTTAGAAAAAGCAGGACAAAACAACCACAACAGTGTAGAAATGGCACCTGGCCCACCACCTCCTCCTCCTCCTCCTCCTCCTCCTCCGTTTGTCTCTATCTGCCCCTTCTCTCTCTACCTCTCTCTTGTTCTTCCTTCTCCCTTTCTCCCTGCCACTCCCTTCTTCTCTCTGTCTCTGTCCCTTCTCTTTTTCCCTCTATCTCCCTTCCTCTGTTTTTTTATCCTTCCCTCCTTTTCTCTCTTTTTTCCCATCTCTTTTTCTCTCACCCTGTCACTTTCCCTCCCCACCCTTCTCTCCTTCCCTCCCTTTTTCTCTCCCCCCTTTCTCTTCCTCCTTCCGTCTCTGTCCCTTCTCTCTCCCTCTTTTTCTCTGTTCTTTCTTGATCCCTCTCTTCCCCTTTCTCTCTGTCTCTCCCCCTTCCCTCTGTCTGTCTTTCTCTCCCTCTCTGTCTCTCCCTCCCTCCCCACCTGCTTCTCTTTGTCTCTCTCCCTCCTGCCCGCCTCTCTCTGCCCCCTTAATCTCCCACCACTCCACTAGAATAAAAAAGAAAAAGCCCTTAGAACAAATATACTGAGTCAGGATCTTGGTCTGCATTTTGCGCCACCTGTCCCGCCCCATCCTCATCAGTGGCGCTGTCGCTGGTCATTGCGTTGCCTTTAGGTGTCATGGTTGCTGTGTCCCTGCTCTCCTGGTTCTGCTTCCTTCCCTCTGCATCAGTTCCTTCAGGTCTGCCCAGGTTTCTCTGCAGCTCCCCCTTTTGTCTTTCTGGACATGCCACGATGTGTTCAGCCATTCCTCAGTATTTGGGTCCCCTCTTTGCCAGCACAGAAAGAGCTGCTATAAATAGTTGGGTTCATGTGAATCTTTCTCTGATATCGTTGGAGTATCACATTAAACCTTTGGGGTACATTTTTCTGGTTGGCCTCTTCCTTCTCCCATCCCCCACTTCTTCCTTTATCTCTTAGAAGTAGCTGTAATTCTTCATTATCATCCCTTTGTCCGTGGCTTCTTTCTTTTACTTTTGCTCCAGAGTCTGCCTCAGTCCCAGATAACTAGTAATCAATTCCTGGAACACAGCCATGCGCCTCCCAAGGAAGGGTTGGAGTGAATGGGGTGAGTGGGGGGGGTGGTCATCAGAGCTTCCCGACCAGGCATGCTAACAAGCATTCTCTCCTTGGCCCTGAGCCCCTTCTCACCCAGGCCTACCTCAATCCCCCTGCCACTCATCCACATTAACCCTTTGACCACCATAACACTGATCTCTTTTTGTTTGGGGTTCAGGGCCGGATGGCGAAACTACAGAAAACACACAAGAGAAAAGAGCAGCAGCCCCGGAAGAGGAAGAGGACGATGAAGATGAAGAAGACGAGAGTCTTCCCGGGTGTACTTTGTTCATCAAAAACCTCAATTTCTCCACAACAGAGGAGACATTGAAAGAAGTGAGTAATTTGTTGGCAGAGAGGGAGAAAGTGGGGTTGAGAACGTCCATGAAGGTCACTTGGTACTAAGTGGGGTCATGCGCTCCCCATCACAGGGAGGATTCAAGCAGCGGCTAACTGATCATCTGTCAGGGATGCTGTCCAGAGGATTCCTAGAAAGTTGGGCTAGAGATGAGGCGTCCCATATTGACCTTCCTTGAGTTCTCTGACCTCAGGCAAGGTGTTCACCCCTCTGGGCTTCAGCCTGGATGGCCTCTAAGGTCCACTCCATCCCTTTGCCTGTGACTGTGACATCCTGTGGTACCTGGGCATTCTTCTTCTTCTTGAGCCTTCCTTCCATTGACCCTGGAAAGGCTTCCCCTCGTCTCATAACCAGTCCCTTCCATCCAATGGGGTCACCTGCTGCTTAGCCCACCCTCCCGTTTCTGGATCAACTTTGGGACTCGTAGGGCGGTCAGGCCCAAGTCAGGCACTGCCCCTGTAAAAGAGGTGACGTCCTTCCAGGGCCGAGGTTCTCATTCTCCTCAAGCCTCCCTCGTGTGTCCTGTCTGGCCAGGGGGGCCTTAGATGAGGGATTCTCATTTGTTCTAATTCCACAAGCACCAATGATGTGCACTGCCAATCCCTCGAGGAGCACTTATTAAGTGCCTACTGTGTGCTCAAGTCTCGGTCGTAGAAATAGAGTGAAAGATCCTGCCCCCAAAGAGCCTTATGGACATAGACCCACCCATCCATTGCAATAACAATTAACCACTTTGCAAACCCGATATTCATGCTGAATAGCTGTTACTATTGCATTTGATAAAATAGAAAACCCATAAACTGCACATACAAGGGGACCTGGTGGCTGGGGTGGGGGGACCAGGAAGGGCCTCCCCAGAAGATAACTCTTGAGCCGTGAAGGAAGCTGCCGTTACAAGAGGCAGAGATGAAAAGGGACAGCAGGGGCAAAGGCCTGGAGATGGGAGAGCCATGACTCCATGTCTCATCTCTGGGCCTGAGTATGTGAGGAAGAGCCAGGATGTGAGCTTGGCTGGACTGGAGAGCTCATGATGGAGCTGGGCCATGAGCGGCTTTGGGGCCAAACAGGGGAGTTTCCATTTGTACTTCAAAGTTGGGGAGCCCCTGAAGTCTGGAACACAGTGATGATGCGACCAGACCTGCTCTTCCCAGAATCCCCTCAGCAGGTTGTGCGGAGGCTGGATTGAGCACAATCCAGTTGGAGAGAAGCCGTGTGCTTGAGACACGACTAAGGAGCGAGTAGATACTGGGCCGTGATTGCTGAGGGGCTTACCCTGACAGGAGACTTGTTGGGTTTCAGAGGAGGAGAGACCACTGTAAGTGGAAATCAGAAGAGGGGGCCTCCAGGGCGCATGTTGTCCAACCCCCTCATTTCCTTGGGCTCATTGATTCAGAGCAGGAAATGATCCTCTGGGCCATCAAGGCCGACCCTCTCATTTTACAGATGAGGAAACTGAGTCCCAGAACTAGTAAGCGCGCCTGAAGTAGATTTTGAATCTGAGTTGTCCTGATTTGAATTCCAGTGCCCCAGTGTGCAGCGCGGACTCTGTTGCTTGGGGGGGGGGGGGGGGGGCTCAAAGACCTTACAGTCAGAACATCACAAGGGGCATGGGAGCTGGGTGCCTCACCTTGGGGCTCCTCAGAGTCCTTGCCAGGTGCATTGTAGGGATTTTCTGGAGGTAATGACTGGAGTAGATGGCCCCTGGGCCACCTTCAAACTCTGGTCCTTGAAACTGAGGCTGCCAGAGGAGGAAACGAGTTCAGCTCAAGCCTTGCCCTCAGAGGATGGCAAGGAGAGGAGGGCCTTCGGGTGAAGGCAGCAAGGTGAGCCATTGGAGGGCCAAGGGCTCAGGTTCCTTCCCACAGCCAGGACACCTTGAGAGGCAAGGACTCACTGTGCGGGAGAGCCTGAGGTTGTCCCAACACCGAAGGCCTTTCTGTCTTTATGCCGCCTTGCAATCCGCTCATTGGCTCAGGTGCCTTCCCCGCCCGGTCGTGTATGGACATGTTAGCATGTCCCAGGTAACCTCCACCAACGCCGTGATCCAGTGGTTTCTTACCTTTATTTATGTCATGGGCCCCTTGGGCAAACTGGTGAAGGAGCCCTCCTCAGAGTAAGGTTTTTAAATACACACAATAAGATACACAGGATACCAAAGGAGACCAGTTACTCTAATGAAATACAGAGGGAGTTGGGTAGTACAATGGGCCTGGAGGACCTGAGCTCAAATCCAGCCCCAGATACTTGCTAGCCTTGTGACCCTGGGCAAGTCACTTCACCACTGTCTGCATCAGTTTCCTCTTCTGTCAAATGGGAATAATAAAAGCACCTCCCTCCCAGGGTTTTTGTGAAGATAAAAAGAGTTAATATTGGTAAAGTGCTTTTATAACTTAAAGCATTATGTAAATGCTATTATCATTTAAAAAACTAAGAACCGATTAAGAATGGCTGATCTAGAAGGATCTTGGTACTCATGGGATTGTGGAAGTAGAGAGGCCAGGTCGTTGTTTTACAGGTGAGCAAACTGAGGCCCAGAAAGGTGCCAGAAAGGATGGGAGTGGGCCTCTAGGCTGACCCACCTCCCCTTGCCATCCTCCTAATCCACCGTACCTGCCACTGAACCTCGCTGCCCCCTGATCCACCCGTCTGGTGCAGCAGATGTATTTAAAAATGTGTATCTGTTGGTGGCACATGGAGATGGCACCCAGCTTGGCACCCAGGCTCACACAGATGATCGGCAGCCTCAAACCCCAGGCCTCCCAGCCCATCCAGACCACACTGCCTTCCCTTGTCGAGATTCGGTGCTGCGGAGACCCTCCTTAAAAGAGGGTAAAAACCACTTTTTGTTCAGTTGTGTCCAACTCTTTGTGACCCCATGGACCATACTGGCTGTGGGGTGTTCTTGACAAAGATACTGGAGTGGTTTGCCATTTCCTTCTGCAGTGGATTAAGTCACACAGAGGTTAAGTGACTTTCCCAAGGTCATCTTCGTTCAATCGTGTCTGACTCTAGATAGTAAGTATCAAAGGCTGGATTTGAACTCAGATCTTCCTGACTCCAGGCCCAGCACTCTATCCACTGATCCACCTAGCTGCACGATAATTTTTGTTATTGTTCAGTCATGTCTGATTCTCCATGATCCCATTTGGGGTTTTCTTGGCAAAGATATTGGAGTGATGTGCCTTTTCCTCCTCCAGCTCATTTTCTAGATGAGGAAACTGAGATGGGCAGAGGTTAAGTGACTTGCCCAGGGTCACACAGCTAGTAAGTGTCTGAGACTGGATTTGAGCTCAGGTCTTCTGACTCCAGGCCCAGGATGGCTCTATCCTGTGAGCCATCTAGTGGTCCCTAAAAAAGAAAAAAAGAAAAGGAAAAAAAGGGTCAAAATCCCCTTTACTCCAAGCTGTCTATCACATGGTGCTACCCTGGGAAAAGTACTTAGTCTGCCTTCATCCCACTTTCTTCATTCTCAAAAGAGGAAGAAGTATCTCTGAGGGACAGTCTAAAGATTTTGGGGGTAGAATTTCTTACACAAAATGGGATTTGGGGTGGGGGACATGCTCCTAATTCCCATCATAGTATGGGCTTCTCCCTCCACCCTCCTTCCCCACCTCCCTCCTCCTTAGTGGGACTTTACAACCCAGCACACACCAATCAGTCGTTTATTGAGCCAGGCACCGTGCTAGGCACGGGGGATATTGGGCAGCTCGGGGCTCCAAAGTGCAGAGATCCCTGGGCCTGGAGTCGAGAGACCTGAGTTCAAATCCATTTCCAGACATTTACTAGTTAAGTGACCTTGAGCAAGTTACTTAACCTCTGCCTGCCTCAGTTTTCTCATCTGTAAAATGGGAGTAGTAACAGCACTTAACTTGTAGGATTGTTGTGAGAATCCAGGAGGAGAATGCACGTGAAGTACTGTCATCTTTAAAGCACTTTATAAATACTTCTTCTCTTTCTCCTCTTCCTCCTCATTGCAACTGTTGTTGTACAAAAGTGAGGTAGTCCCAGCTCTGATCCTTGCCATCCCCATTTGCTTGGGAGGAGATTTCCTCCTGCTCCTCATGAACAGACTTCCTCCTCTCTGGACTTGGAGCTCCTCTGGGTCAGGCTCGGGAGGCACCCTGGGTCACTGGAAGGAACACTGGGCTTGAAGTCAGAAGACCCAGATTCAGATCCCAGCTGTGTTGCTCCCTGCACCGGGGTGACCTTGGGCAAGTCACTGAAACTCTCTGGCCTTCAGTTTCCTTCTCTGTAAAAGGAAGGCATGGAACCAGGTCATCCTTACGTTCTCTTCTGGCTCAGCTGATATTCTAAGGCTCCTCTCAGTTCTAGTATTCTGTGTTCTTAGAGCCCTCCCAACTCTGACACTCTGTGTTTTAAAGTGTCCCATTCGCCTCACCTTGACATTGTATGTTTCAAGTTACTCCTCCCAGCTCTAACATTCCCTGTCCTCAGGCCCTCCCAGCTTTGACATTCCCTGTCCTCGGGCCCTCCCAGCTTT